AGGTACAAGGCCGTTTTTGCAGCCTCCCGGCTCCCAGCACACCTGTACCCGCTGTTTGGCTTTAGACTCACAGCCTTATACTGACGCCTCTGAAATTTCTACTTGTGGAAAGCAGAAACGGCTCCCGGAAGTATCCGCCCCACCTGGTGGAGGTGGAGGCCATCCAGCACAAGACCACGCAGATCTTCCACAAAGTGTATTTCCCCGACGACACAGACGAGGTGAACATCCTTGTCCAGACCAGGTCCAGTTCTGGGTCAAAATGAAATCAGCACCGAATTACCCAATAGATGAAAGGGTCCTGCCAGCCTGCATTATCTGATTGAATTGGCCATCTTTTAGAACATTATGTCCCTGGGCTATAATTTTATCCTGTAATATATATGTGTACCAAGGAGGTTATTTAATATCAGTAACAAAATCCATTAGTGAAATGTGTTCTGCAGGCAAAAAAATAGCACTCCCTAATCATGATGAAGCATTATCTGCTCTTAGAGACTGTAATATCCTGTTATTAAGTGCTAATTATATGGGCAGAGATTACAGAGGGGATGGATTCTGTAATTAATTGGATATGCCTGAAAAACACTGATAATTATATTCTAATTTAGTTGTTCTAAATAGATCTGCCTCTAATTATTTCTCCAAATTTTTCTAAGTAATTGTCTGACTGGGGTTATGGGACAGTGGTATTGCAAAATGGAATAATTTTTATAATGGATTTTTTTTTTGTAATTTGTTGTAGGCTTTTGAGGTGGAGTCAAGCACAAAGGCCAAAGATTTCTGCCTGAACATCTCCAGCCGCCTGCTGTTGAAGTCCTCCGAGGGCTTCAGCTTATTTGTAAAGATCTCCGACAAGGTAGGACCCGGAATGAAAGAGGCAATTCGTGAAGGTCAATGAGGATCATGGTGAGATGGAATCTGATGTCACAATGAGTCCTGGAGGCTTTGCGAGGAAGCTGAGAGGAAGCAGAGAGCGTCTGAAGCTGGCTCGTTCTGCTCAGACTTTATGAAGCTGGTGTACGAGGCTGCTGGAGGGTGAAGAGATTGAAGCTGGACTCTGCTTTTCAGGTGATCAGCGTGCCAGAAGGGGATTTTTTCTTTGATTTCGTCAGGCACCTCACGGACTGGATCAAGAAAGCTCGGCCTGTAAAGGATGGTAAAGCCCTAATCCAGCTTAATCCTCTTTGAGAGTCAGGTCAGCTCTCTCCCCTGCTCTTCCCACCTAAACAGCGTGTGTGCTCTGTCTGTTTTAGGCATAGTGCCCTCATTGACCTACCAGGTATTCTTCATGAAGAAACTGTGGACCAACACTGTCCCAGGGAAGGACTCATTTGCAGATTCCATTTTTCACTACTACCAGGTGATTCGTCTTTGGATCCCCGTGTATTTTCCTTCACTAATAGCGTCGGTGTTGTGAAGACAGTGCTGCCCCTTAACTGGCTCTCCTGTCCCACACGGTCCTCCTCAGGAGCTCCCCAAATACCTGCGCGGCTACCACAAGTGCTCGCGCGACGAGATCTTCCAGCTGGCCGCACTCATCTACCGCGTCAAGTTCGAGGACGACAAGTCTCACTTCCCCAGTATCCCCAAGATGCTGAGAGAGCTGGTTCCTCAAGACCTGATTAGGCAGATGTCCCCTGACGACTGGAAACGCGTGAGCGGACACGGGACTCGCCGTTCATCCTTAAATATAGTCATTAGTCCATCCATCTGTCCATCCATCCATCCAGTCATTAGTCCATCAATCAATCCATCCTTCCGCAATCACTCATGGAACAGTGCGTTTCCACACATGCATGATCTTTAGAGTGGTGTTTCTCAGTCCTGTTCCTGGAGGACCCTCTGCCAGAATGTTTTCATTCCACCCACACTACTTTCAACCTACCACATTCATTATTAGCCTATTAAGGGCCATCTTAACCTGATTAAGGTGGGTTGGAAAGAGAATGTTGTGGCACGGGGGGTCCTTCCAGGAAATGGATTGAGAACCAACGCTTTAGAGTCATTCTTTGTGTGTGGACAACACCACGTCACACAGAGATCTCTGCCATGTGTTTGTGCAGTCCGTGGTGGCGTACTTCAACAAGCATGCTGGGAAATCACGGGAGGAGGCCAAGCTGATGTTCCTCAAAATCATTTTCAAGTGGCCAACGTTTGGATCGGCCTTCTTCGAGGTGAAGGTAATCAGTTTGCCTCCGGGATGGCTGTGGATGTTTTTGTGTCCAGAGGAGTGATTGAGCTTCACTGTCGTCACCTTGTCTGGGTGTTTCACATCTGTTCGGGGTTTACCATGAGAACACCAGAACAATTAATGCCTACACTATTTTCTAGCAAACTACAGAGCCAAATTTCCCAGAGATCCTCCTGATAGCGATTAACAAGCATGGCGTCAGCCTCATCGACCCAAAGAGCAAGGTAACTGAGACTCTGTTGTTATGTTCGAGGATTATGTGCGTGTGTGTGTGTGTGTTCAAGGCTGTGTGCGTCTGCATTGATCCTGCAGGACATCCTGATCACGCACCCCTTCACCAAGATCTCCAACTGGAGCAGCGGGAACACATACTTCCACATCACCATTGGCAACCTGGTCCGAGGCAGCAAGTTGCTCTGTGAGACCTCGCTGGTGAGGAAGCCGCCTGTTTAGAAGAGCAGGTTTCGGTTCCAGCTGAAGCTGGTCATGGTGGCTCCTACTTTCAGATGTTCAAATGATAATTCAGTAACGAAATTTCTTCATTGAAAATGTTTGTTAAAGGAAACCCGATAGTGAAAACCCCTGCGATTTGCGGTCTGCACACAGGGCTACAAGATGGATGACCTCCTGACCTCGTATATCAGCCAGATGCTGACCACCATGAGCAAACAACGGGGTGCTCGTGTCAACAGCAAGTGAACTGATTATTGGCTGAGAGCTATGGAGCTTCTCAGGCTGCTCCGCCCCCTGGGCCAGCCCTGCAGCTGGGGCCACACCTACTCCGCCCGTGTATGGAGAATGAGTCGAAGCCCCTCCCCCAGCACCATTGGCTCTGACATCGACGAGCCCGCCCCCTCATCTCCTTCCAGTGAGGATGACTACCTCTGAGCTTCCCCTTTCTCCCTTGTTCCCTCTTCTTCTCACCTGCCCTCCCCGGTGACCCCCCTGTTAAGCCAGCTAGCCAATCAGGGCCTTCTGGGGAGCCTCGAGACACACCCATGTGACTGAGACAGTTCCTCCTTTGATGAAGTCACACACATAGACAAATGGGTCAGTACAGATTCTGGTTATATTGCCTGAATGACCTGAACTCGGTTCTGATGCCACCAACCAGCATCAGAAATGTTCTGCAAATTGCCCATATGTGACACCCCCTCCCCACACCAGGAAAAGCAACAATTTAAAATATATTTGATATGGGTTACATTGCTATAAATCCATATCACTAAATGTAATCTGTATGATTTCACTCAAGTTTGAAAGCCTTAATTTTTTGTACAATTTAATTATGCTATTTTGTCATTAGGACTCACATTCATATATGTGGCTATTTAATGTTTCAGAATAGGTTTGTTTTGTAAAGGGTTTCCACTTGTGAATTTAGGTATTTTAAGTTTTAGGATGCAGAACTCAAAATGAGACTATTAAACAAGGCCGCCGCCTCGCCAGGTGGTTTGAGCGGCTTATTGCTGATGGAATGACCTGCTGCAGTCACTCAGGTCCCGTAAACCGCGCAAGCTCTTCCGCCTTGTTCCCGTTAATGTACTCATAATGGCTTTTTTGTGTCATGAAGGGTTTGTGGCATTGAGTTCATATTTGTCTATTCGAAACATTCAGAAGTGTAATAACTGGTCTATCATCCTGTCATACCCCACTGGTGGAACTGGCTCACAGGTCAATATAATCGCTTCACGTTCAATAACGACAGCGAGTTGAGATGCATTTTTCAAAACTTCTCCCCGGGTGACACACAAATATAGACCCTCTACAAGAGCATCTCCTCTTGGCTTTTTACGTGTTGTGGTCTCCATAGCAACGAGGCCAAGACGGCTCTAGGCAAAAGTTTGGACGGCCCTTGTAGCATGCAGGTCTGGTGAGTTTACATTGTATTTAATGTTAGTGTGTGTGTGTGTTTCACGTTTAACAAAGTTTTAATATATATACATTAAATTAAAAATAAGCAAGTTGGAAAGCTGATTTTTTTTATTTGAAAGGGGGCACACCTCTACCACAAGCACATTGTTTTATCTTAAAAGAAGCAGTTTTATAAAAAAGAATAAACGTATTCAAATGTCTGTTTTCGGCCAGACTTGTTTTCTTAGCTACATTATAGGAACTGTCGTGGTTTAAAGACTCAGGGAATTATGTTAAAACAATATGACAGCTTCCCAGGACGGGAAAACCGCGACGCCGAGGTGGTTAGCGCCTGACAGCGCGCCGCGTTTAAAAGCCGGCTGTGGCCACTCCTGTTCCTTAACTTACCGTGTGTCAGTTCCAGCTCATTTTGTTTAAGCCCAGTTAGTTGCAGGTAACAGAATACAGCTGTCTGATTGGATACTGGATAAGAGGGGCGGCATCCAAACATGCAAATGATAGGACCCAGATCCACCTCTGATCTATGTCAGCATTAAGTGGCCGGATAGACATCTTATCAATGCTATTTTATATATCTAGATTGTCAGTTTAAGAATAATATTCTTATTCTTAAGGAAAAATAAAATCAAGTATGATAGGATACTGACTTTTTTGAGCACTGCTTTAAGCGGCTCTGATCCCGAGGGAATTGCTGGCAAAGTACTTCCCTGGTGTTTAATGCCATCAGGCCCTGGGCCCATAACTGTATCCACCTGGCCCCCGGGGGGCCTCTAAAATCGACATGATGGTGCAGAAAGTCCCTTTTTGACATTTCAGAGCCTGGGAGCTGAGTGGTTTTGTCACGCTGTGCTTGCACAGCTAAGGCATTACAGCCTGTACTGAGAGCTCACTCATACACACTCAGACAGGTAACCCACTCCTACATACCTCATTAATGGCTGCTGTGTGCAGTAAATATTTAATTTGACAAAAACAGATTGATATATTTGAACATTGTGATGTCATGTTACAGCACATGCTCAGATAATAAGCATTAAACTACAAAGCAGCAATGTGACTGGGCACTAGGGGGCGCCCTTAGACTGCATGGTAGACGACTGGGAGCATCTCTGGGACAGTGGTCTTCCCACAGTGACATGATAAGAATGGTAGCCTCGAAAGAGGGTTCTGAAGGTTTGGTGACGTTACCATGGATACCAGCAGTTTGGCTGAGTTTGGGAGTGACAGCAAATGAAAAATCACTTATGGAAATAGAGCTTCCTTTGCTGTGCTGGTGTGCTTGAGGATCCCTCGGTTGCTGCCGGAAAAGCCAGACTTGTCCATGGCCAGTTCTGGTCACATGACCACCACTTATAGGCTGGAGAGCATGTGAAAGATTGTTTTCGATGGGCGTACAGGAGGAGGAGGAGGAGGAGGAGGAGGAAGGCTCCCACATGCTCACTGCCTGCTTGCTCTGACTGTGGCCTCCTCCGCGATGGTGGCCAGGTTGGGAGTGGCCGGCTGACTCCGCAAGTCCCCCCGAACGCTGACGCTGGAGACGGACCACACGTCACTCAGCTCTGCAGGGGACAGAAGACCCAGGGGTCAGAGGACAGAGGCAGGAAACGTCAAGTGAGAGATGGTCAGACTGTACTGGGAAACATATCTGATGGAAGCCAAAACCGGCTGGTCCACAGTGGTAACCACTATTTACAGCAGCTACGGTTCAAGCTCAAATCAAGCACACAAGTCACCTCTCTGGGTTTTTCGAGGTACATATCAGCTGTTAAAAGAATGTTTTTCTTAGAAAAGTAGCACTAATTAGCTACTAGTTAGCATTACCATTTAAAAGTCACCAATCAACCCAATTGGGAGGACATGCCCTCACCTGTGCGGAACTTGCTGTAAGGTCCCTTCTCATTTGTCTGTCTGCTGTCTGACCAGAAAGGCAGGCCCCTGTCTTGCCACCTGAAATGAAGCCACAGCCACGAATGAAATCGGTAGCGCATTTCATCGGTAGCAGGGGGGGGGGGCTGGGTGGGGCTCAGGGCTCACCAGTGGAACACAAATACGAGCAGGATGAGCGCAGCAGACGCAGCGTCGGTAAGGGTCCACATCAGGATGTAGCGTTTCGGAGTCTGGGGGGGGAGGGAGCAGAATCAGCAGATTCCCTGTCAGGCCGTCTGAGTACTGAGAGATTGCTGGGGTTACATCAATGATAAGAAATACGATCATTTGCGGATCTGCTGTTTATCCTAGACTCATGTAGGATAATTTTCTCAAAAAGAGCACGTACAGAACAGCAAAGCACAAAAATAAAGGTGAGTAGGGATTATACTAAATTAGAGGACAGTGTGCCCAGGATAGAAGTCAAACAGAGAGTCTAATTAGAAGGGGAGTGATTAAAATAGGGACACAGACCTAAAAACAGCAGAAGAGCAGTGACTCATACGAGGATGTCTCCGGCTTTAAGGCTTAACTTAAGATTGCGCTAAGTGACGAGTCACGGGTGGGTTAGCCGCAGAGCAGGACCTCACCATGAGAAAGAGGGGGCGCTGTAGTGCCTTCAGCACGTGCACGGCGTTGCTGGTGACGGACTGCGCCCCAGCGCACCAGGCCAGTGAGTAGAGCCAGGGCTGAGTGACCACATAGAGGTTGGTGCTGATGTTCACAGACGCGTATTTGCTGATGGGAAGATAAAGCTGCTTAGTAAGTGACAGGGACCCCACTCAAAAAGTCAATTTGGGATCCCTGGCTCCCACCCAAAGACTAAACAGCTAGATCAGAGCTAGCTAAATAAGGAACATATTTATTGTATTTAGTGTAATGACTGTTTGTGGCCAACAGGGGGCCCTAGGAAAATTCATTGTTTAATAATAATAATAATAATAATAATAATCGATACTTTATTGATCTCCGTGGTGAAATTGTCCCTCTTTGTAGAGCAAGCTGTCCACGAAGGGCAGCCACCAGTAGCAGCGCCCAGGGAGCTGGGGGTTAAGGGTCTTGCTCAAGGACCCGAAGACGTGCTGAGGCTGGGTTTGAACCGGCAACCTTCTGATTACAGGCACACAGACTTAGCCCACTGAGCCACACGCTGCCCCCTGAGCACGGTTTGGCACCCCCTTAGCTGCAGGGAGGGACAGACCGACACTGACATACTGCCATTCATGGCTGCAAAAACACCAACCCTCGGCGGAGATGTCCCCGTCACTAGACTCCCAGGGACCGTGCCGACAGCACGGTTGCTGCGCTGACCAGTGCCATCTCCCTCCCAGTAGAGGACGCTACAGTAGAAAGTGTCCTCCTAACATCACCCTCTGGGAATCAGGCACACTGAATACAGTACACGCCCCCGGCAGTCTGATTTAAGTACTGCAGCATAAAAGCCACCATAGCCATCTGTCTCATTATCCTCTCTGGAAAATTCACAGTCTGCTCATTAAGATTTAATATTTACATCATAAAACAGGAAGAGAAACATTCACAGTAAAAACTTTCATGAGCAGACAACTTGTATAAAGTGGTGAGGCAGATGTGGCCTTCTTAACTGAAAGATTGGAGGAAAGCCCAGGCGGTGTAGCTCAGCTTAACAAACGATTGGAGGAAAGGCCTG